GCGAATTCTCTTGAACAAGGAATGTTCCAACGTTGCTTGCAAATAATAGGGACAGGCATCGTGTTTTGATGTGGTCACGTCAGCATGGACAAGGTGTACAGTCATGCTGTCCGATTCTGGTGTTCCTTGTGGTTGCAGTTCGCTTTGATAGCTGGTTGTGCGGTGCAATTATCAGCACAACATGTAACCACTCACTTTAAATCGAGATATTTTGTACATGTGAGGCGGTAGCTATGCGCCTGATAATCATTTGTGCCCTGACTATGCTCAGCTTGCGTAGCGGAAACCGTTTATTAATGAAGTTTTAGCAACTGCGTTGTTTGGTTCCTTCAAGCATAAATCGGCAAACCATCGGCAACCCCTTTGTTCTAACATATCGCTGACGTTTTGTTCAGTCGTTCATGCCTTCAGTCCAGGTTTATTGAATCTCTTCCCCCTCCTGAGGATCAGATGTGATGCTTCACTCTTTGACTTGGGTTATTTGTGAGAATTTCTTGGTTTTTTGTTTTATGTCTTTCTGTTCGTTGACCCTGGCAATTTAGGCGTGGTCGAGCATTGTTTATAAACTGGTTCCCAACGTTCAACAGTTGGAAGCAAGCCTAGAAAAATTCGGTGCCATCATAGACGCGGACGAAGTTCTGCTATTTGAAAAGGCTACGTTCCTTGTGATTTCGCATTGCCAACGTAAAGCGCACAAAGACGTGCATCGGTTCGAAAAGCTAAGCAACTTCATCAAGCAGTTTAAACTTAGCTGCAGGTCAGTGATTTACTTTTTCATTTGCAAATGATGGTAAATCTTAATTGTGTACTTGCTGTAAACTGTCCGTTACTCGAAAGAATTACTGTGATATGACTATGAGTAAGCGAATGCCCCATAAATGAATAAATTGACGGATCCAGTCCGATGCCCCCATGTTGCCTCCAAAGGATCATCGATTATTTTGATTCTGATCAGCTGTATTTTCTCTGAATGCATTGAAGTGGTGCGATTATGCTGTTTAAAAGACGTTTCCCTACATCTGGCTTTGTTTACTGTTATAGATTTCATCGTAGTTGACGCTGATTTAAAGTTTGATATGTCAATGAACTGCATATCGTAATAACAAATATGCGATTATATGTTCGTTCATGAACCTTGAAATAGTTGGTAACGGCAAAAAAGTGTGCTGTACAATTTCTCATGTTTCTTCCTTCTGGCCAGTGAATGGCCGTAAACAGTTAAGAAAATGTGATGTACTCCATTTCATTGGCCAACATGGAGTAAATGCGACCGAGCAGAGTCGTCATAAGTTGAAACTTTACTCATTGATCGTCTCTCTAACCGGAATATGAAATAGGTTATTGTATAATTGTACTTTTAATATAGTTTTAAGTAAGCTGTATGCAAAAATAAAAGGTGCATGCTAGCCTGTGAAATTATCAGGAATTAAAGTACCTGTCACACTATGAAGCTGTATAGCAAGAAAAGCTTGAAGAAAGCGAAAGAGGTCGATACTTTCATCGCGAACTAACTTGGCTTTATGCTGGGCCTGTCAAACACTGAAGCCATCTTTGTTTTAACATCGGAAAATTGGCGGAAGTGATCTTTGCATGCTGTTACTGCACCTGGAGAATACCAAAGCAGAAAATATGTCCCTGTATCAGAAAGATGCTTGTGCCAGAATAATATACCAGGCTTACCAGACACATGTACGATAGATTTACAACCACAGTTCGAAGTACATTAAGCGAAACTAAAGAATTCCTTGTACGGGCATGGGTCCATCAAGGTCCAGTACTTAGCCCATTTCTGTTCTCGATGACGACAGATGCGGAAAGTAAAGATTTTCAGGAAGCAGCCCCATCCCGTATGCTTTATTCACATGACTTAGTCCTGAACAGCGAAACAGTAGGGGCAAAAGCCGAAGCATAGGGGGAGTCCTTGGACAAAAGATAAAAGTAAGGTGGCATACATGTCGGGCTATTTAAATACGGGGAGGGGCAGATGGAAAGTTAACGGATCATGAATATAGCGGGCAGTATGCAGCCTAAAACCGAAGAACTCAAGTGTCTTGTTTCCATCCTTGAATAGATGAAAGGAATTAATGTACAGGCTTAAGCCAGTGTTTGTAGATGTCATCAGATCATAGATGCTTTAACATTGCTGAATAACGATTGACTCCTCCGAGACCAGATTCCACGACGTATTGCTCTGTCTTCTTGCTTCTAGTAGCCTAAGGAGACCATTTAAGCAGGCTACTGCTCCTAGGTATTTGACCACCTGCACTGCCAGATGCGTCCCGCATCATTTTCTCGCTGGAGCCATCACACGCTCATCACGAACGATGTTTCACGAGCTCTTCATATAACACCACATAAACATGGTCTGTTCGCACATTGGAG